GTTTGCAGAGGTTTGAAAAGCGTAAAATGGTTGCAAAGTTCAGGAATCTTGCAGGGTCCCCAGCAAAGCCTGAAAGTTAGCTGAGAAGACCTCATCCAGTGCCATAAGCAGAAACACAAATAGGCTGTACAAAAGAAAGGGAGTGAAGCATTTAAAAGCATTTAAAAACCATATTGTTAGGAAAGCATTGTTTAATGTTTGGATAAGATATAAGGATCTATTGGAAAATAAAACCCCAAGATGGCTGTCACCGATGGAAGCGAAAGCTCAGAAAAAGCTCAATATGGAGGCTAAATGGCTGAAATATTGGGAAATTTTGGAACAAGATGGAGATAGATTGAAATTGCAGAGTTTTGAGAAACTAAAGAACAAAGTGTGAGACTGGCTTCATTATTATCAGATAATGGAGGCATATAATTTGGACAAGAAAATTGGCTTCCAGGTGGAGAAATCAAAATTAGAAACAGAACTGTTAGAACCCAAAACTAAGGTTTTGTCAAGGATGTATAACTTGCTGTTGAAATGGAATACTCAGGATGAAACGGTGAAATCTGTTATGATTAAATGGGCACAAGATGTTGGACACAATATTATGTTTGCTGACTGGGAACAGTTATGGACCACAGGTATGAAGTTTACGGCATGCACTGCCCTAAGAGAGAATATTATGAAAATGATATACAGGTGGTACATGACCCCAGCCAAGCTTGCAAAAATCTATCACTTGCCTGATAATAAATGTTGGAAATGTAAGGAAACTGAAGGTACATTCTTTCACCTTTGGTGGACGTGCCCAAAGATTAAGGCTTTCTGGGAGACGATATATAATGAATTGAAAAAGGTATTTAAATATACCTTCTTGAAGAAACCAGAGGCCTTTCTCCTGGGCATAGTCGGCCAATCGGTGTTAAAGAAGGATAGAACTTTCTTTATGTACGCTACAACAGCAGCAAGAATACTTATTGCAAAGTATTGGAAGACACAAGACATACCCACTCTGGAAGAATGGCAGATGAAGGTGATGGACTACATGGAATTGGCGGAAATGACTGGCAGAATCCAAGACCAGGGAGAAGAGTCGGTGGAAGAAGACTGGAAGAAATTTAAAGACTATTTACAGAAATATTGCAAAATTAATGAATGCTAGAATGATGTTGGATTCAAATTAAGTGGTTTCTAGCTGTAATGGTACAAAAGAATATGAAAAAATGGTTTTTTATAAGTAAAATTTAATGTTATAATAATTTAAGATTAAAGATCAGGGTAAAATAAAGAGGGAAAGAAACTGCTGAGCTAATAAATAGAACTGGAATACAAAAAAGGGAGGTATGAGGAGGTCCGGGAAACAAGTAAATGAAAAATAAGTGATGAAAAGATTGACTGTTTTTAACTATTTTTATTTGTATTTTTTCTTTTTCTTTTTCTATTTTGTAATATTGTAAAAACCCTAATAAAAAATTTATTAAAAAACAAAAAACAAAAGAAAGGGAGTGAGAATACAGAGCAGCTCAGAGCAGGATATTTATCTCCTACACAGAGCGGGTTTTTTTGACCTTGAGTCTCACACGACTAAAACAGCAGCTGCAGGTCTGTCGATCGAGACAGTTCCAGTGAGTTCCAGAAGGTTTGAGAATGTTCTGCCCCCAAGCACATCCCAAAGACTAGAGTTCCCAGTAAGTCCCACTATCTCCAGTGGAGGCTGGTACATTGCGGCGAGACTCTGTTCCACTCCACCTTTGCCCAGCCCTCACCTGCCTGCCTTCTTCCTTGCAACCAGCACAGAGGATGACCCTGGCTGTGAGCTTCCTCCTCCTTCATAGTTTCCCCTTGCAGAATTCAGCAGGGAGGCAGATGGGGACAGAAATGGAACTAATTGGCTCTGCCTATGCTTGGCTCCGGCTCCCTCTAGGACTACACAGCCTCCCTGTCTTTTGCCCTACCAGTCCCAATGGGCACCAATCAACGCTGTCCAGCTCTAGCTGTGCACAACAGTGAGTATATCAGAGCTTCTCAGGGCCACAGCAGATTTGAAGTAGACGATCAGCTATTAGGCTGCCCTGTGTGTGTGTTTTAACTAATTAGATAAATCACAAAGGGGCTGTTTCAGAGGCGGCGCTCCAGGAGACGGGTGTTCAACTGCCAGGCGAGACATGAGCTTTAAGCTAGCCTTTGCATCTAGCATGCAGGGTTTTTAAAAATTAAAATTATAAATGAAGTGGGGTGGGGTGCTTGCAGGCATGGAGGGGGGGAATTTAACCCTTTCCTTCCTTGCTTTGATCCTGTGAAATATCCCTCTCCTGCGGTTGGTGTTTGCGGAGAAAGGGCTCCCACAATGGGGAATAAATTTCCTCCACGTGCAAATATTTTGCTCCAGGTTACAGTTTTCCCAGCTCAGTACCACAGCAAGGAACAAAAGGGTTAAACTCCATGCTGCTCCATGATCCCATTAAATTTCACCCCCACCTCAAGCAAAAGCAATTTGCTTTTTTAAAAAAGAGCCAAACCTTGTGCATTAAATGCAAAGGCATATCTAACATCAGTCTAATTGAGCTCTGAGTGTTTCCTGCCTTATGCTTTCCCTGCTGCAAATTGCACTCTGTCTTACACACACACACACACACACACACACACACACACGGGACTCAAGCAGCTGTGTGTATTGAGGCAGGGGTGGAGTTACAGATGCTCTCACAGATTTTCCACCTCATCTCCAGTTTTGTCCTAAGAGGACCTCGGCTATGAACTGCAAAGCCCCCAAGTGACACATCCCACTTGCGTCACCAGGTGTCACTAAACTCACCAGGTGTCACTGAACAATGCACTATTGAATAGGGGGGAATAGTGACTATTCCCTCTGCCTCTTTTGCAACAGTAATATAATGCCTCGCAATTTTAAGGGCTACCGCCATAAACTGAGATACTATAAAGTGTGTGAAGTGCCTGAACACTGAATGAATGAATGAATGAATGTTTATTATTACGGCCAAACAGCCAGCACAGGTCTGAACATTCTAACATTTGAGATCACTGCTAGGTAGAGCTTCATTTATTTACTTTTTATTTTTTAAAAAATGCTTAGTTTGCTCAGACTCAGGTTCCCTGAAATAGCAGCTGTGCAGATGCTTCTGGTAAGCAAAGCAGAAAGGTGACAGCTTCTATCTCCTTGTCCCCATTCCCCCCCCCCCCATTCATACAAAGGTGAACAGGTCCTGAACATGGAAGTTTCATTTAGTTGTCATGGCAAATGCTCGTCCATTTGCTGAATTATTCCCGCAAGCAAACATGAAAAGACGAAGGGCTGTGGCTCTGTGGGGTGGAGCAAGATGTCCTGGGTTCAATCCTCAGTTTCTTCACATAGGACTGGAGAGAGACCACTACCCAAAGCCCCAGAGAATCCATCCCTCACCATTGGGCATGCTATCTGAGGGTGATGGGAATTGGAGTCTAACACCAGATGGAAGGTCATCCCTGCTTTCTACCACGTTTCAGTGCAGACCTCTTATTTTAGCTCCAGATTGATGCTGTTCTCCTCTTCCTTACTCTCTTTTTAAAAAATACCATCTTAACTTGCATCCAGTGTCACATTTATGGTATGAATTATATGTTAAGAACATTCGCTGAGCTGGAATAGACCCACCTAGCCAAGATTCCTGTTTCCAACGACAGACAGTCAGATAGATCTGGGAAACCCATAAGCAGAGCTAGAAAGCAAAAGCTCCCTGCCCCACATTGCTGTCCAGCTGCCCTGGAAAATGGAGGGGTTGGACAAGATGACCCTTGAGGTCCCTTCTAACTCTACAATTCTATTTTTCTACAGTCACTTCTTAGCTGTCCCTGCATTTATTCTGGCTCTCTTTCGAAGTCATCTCTAGCAATAGCCTGGTTAGAGATGTGGGTCAACCCCACACTGGCTGTAAGGAACCAAACAGACTCATCATGCACATCTGGGCTGGGTATCAAATGCTAGGTACTTCTTGGGAGAAAAGCAAGGACAAACATAGACAGCATCTTAAAAAGCAGAGACATCACCTTGCCAACAAAGGTCCGTATAGTTAAAGCCATGGTTTTCCCAGTAGTGATATATGGAAATGAGCGCTGGACCATAAAGAAGGCTGATTGCCGAAAAATTGATGCTTTTGAATTATGGTGCCAGAGGAGACTCTTGAGAGTCCCATGGACTGCAAGAAGATCAAACCTCTCCATTCTGAAGGAAATCAGCCCTGTGTGCTCACTGGAAGGACAGATCGTGAAGCTGAAGCTCCAATACTTTGGCCACCTCATGAGAAGAGAAGACTCCCTGGAAAAGACCCTGATGTTGGGAAAGATGGAGGGCACAAGGAGAAGGAGACGACAGAGGACGAGATGGTTGGATAGTGTTCTCGAAGCTACCAGCATGAGTTTGACCAAACTGCGGGAGGCAGTGGAAGACAGGAGTGCCTGGCGTGCTCTGGTCCATGGGGTCACGAAGAGTCGGACACGACTAAACAACAACACCAGCACCAAATCTTGCTGCAGGGTGTTCCACAAGTTAATTTTGTCCCTGCCCTGAATCTACTGTCCTTGGACGGCTTAAATTTTATTGCAGGAAGTTTCACCCGTTAATTTTGTGCCTGCTCGGAATCTACTGCCCATGCATTGCTCCGCTCCCACCTTAATCTTGTTGCAGGGAGTTCCACAAGTTCATGTTGTGCCTGAATCTGCTCCCCGCGCGTGGCTTCTTTACCGCCCGCCTTCACCTCGTCTTGGCTCTGCGCTGATTCCTTCCCTCCTCGCCTCGCCTCCGTAAGCCCTTCCTCCCCCGCGCTTATTATTATCTGCAGCCACACACGTACTCTAGGAGCTGTCACTTTCGGTTCAAAGGTACGTGCCGGCTTCTTCGCCATTGGCTGGGCTAAGATAAGGCCACCACCTCAGAGGCGCCTGGGTTGGCTTGGTGAAGCATCAGTCATGCCAGGTGGGTGGGATTAAAGAGGGATTGAATGGAAGGGAGGGGAGAAAGAGAGAGATGAAGAACTGATTAAGGAAGAGAGAGGAGCAGCATCTCCGGGGTTCCCACCCCGCCAAAAACACACACACACCAAACCCGACCAGGTAGACGGGATGCGGGATGGGGAACGCAATGGGTGGTATTGAGAAATGCGCGCGGCAATTTCCGATGCTGTATATGTAATATTCTTAGTAGTGGGCTTAGAAAAAAAAATGCATGTTGGCCAGCCTGTTTTCCTGCTAGACTCCAAGAAGGACCAGAGGTGTGATCCTGATCCCTATAAACACACGCGCACCCTGTGGACTCTGCGTTTTACAAATGTCCAGTCCGAGAGGGGCAAATACGGTCGGATGAGGAGCCGTTGTTGTAGGAGTCAGAGGGAAGGCAGGCAAAGGGTGGTTGAGAGAGAGGGAGAGAAAAGCGTGCATGTTTCCGATGATCGGGACCAAATCCACACGTGAGAAGTGGAATCCCCCCACCCAGGGAAAAAAAGAGACCATGAATGAATGTGTATATGGACTGGGGAGAGGATGACTGAGGACCTCGCCAGCTTTTCCTTTGTCACGTCGTATTGTGGGCATCAGCTACTGTCTACTGATGGGGGAATTTGGGTTGTGTCTGGGGTGGGGAGAGGACTTATAGATCCGTGGGGTGGGGATCTGGCGCGCGCGTCCGCCGCACATCTGCCCAGCCCAACCAAGAAGCCCTGGATTTATGATTCAGCATCAGCCGAGGAGCAGCTGTGGGCTGGCGAGGGGGGTGAGATGTCTGGTGAATAGGGGAATGAACCGGGGAAGCGACGGGGGTTTCCTCGCAAACCCAGCGATCTCCTCGGTCTTTCTTTGTGCGGCGGAACATTTCTGGCGAGGGCGAGGCGGATCAGGTGGCTGAGTTATTTTGGAACCCAGTTTGCCTGAATGGAGCTGCGACGCTTGCATTCTTCAGTGCCTTTAAAAAAAAACCTACCTTTTGACTCCCTTTTGTATTTCTCGAGGTATGAGGGCTGGTTCTGGCGCCTCAGGGAGATGCGCTCTGCACATGATCAGAAACGCTGCCTTTACACCTTCCAATGCGCGCGCGAGGGCGGGGGAGAGAATCGCCTTTGGAGTTTAAACCCTTGAGGAATTACTGTGGGGGGGGGCTCCCTGACTGTGAAAGAGGGAAGGGGGCGAGATGGGCTACCAGGTATGAAATTTTAGAATTGTAGAGTTGGAAGGAACCCCGGGGGTCATCTAGTCCAACCCCCTGCAATGCAGGAATCTTTCGGGCTCGAGCGGGGCTCGAACCCGCAACCTTGAGATTAAGAGTCTCGTACTTTATCGATTGAGCTATCCCAGAGTGAAGGACTATGTTTGGTAAGACGGGGCTGCAAAAACAATCAAGATTTGTTCTTGTGGTTTTTTTAAAAAAGAAGAGAACTACAGAATGTTCTGAATGGGCTTCGTTTGGGAGGGTCAGAGCAATCGCGATCGTCCTCAATTTCTTTCGAAACTGGCAAGGAACACTGAGAAGGGTTGGCCCTCAGTGGCGATTAGGCAGTAGACGTGCGTCAAAAGGGGCGACCTCCACGAAACATTGGAAGCTGCCTTATACCGCGTTAGACCGTTGGCCCATCTTAGCTGAGTATCGTCTACACGGACTGGCAGAGGTTCTCCAGCATCTCAGGTAGGCGTCTCACCAAATCAGGGGTACCAACTTGGATAAAATATTGGGGGGGCAAGTAAGCCGCGCCCCGCATAATCGACCATATGACGCGGTGCATGAATGGCAGTGCCCATGAACTTTGGACGGGTCCGGCCCCCTCAAATATTTTAGAGGGGGAGACCCCTTGGCCCCTAGGAGTACAGTGGTACCTCGGGTTACATACGCTTCGGGTTACATACGCTTCAGGTTACAGACTCCGCTAACCCAGAAATATTGCTTCAGGTTAAGAGCTTTGCTTCAGGATGGGAACAGAAATTGTGCTCCGGCGGCGCGGCAGCAGCAGGAGGCCCCATTAGCTAAAGTGGTGCTTCAGGTTAAGAACAGTTTCAGGTTAAGTACGGACCCCCGGAACGAATTAAGTACTTAACCTGAGGTACCACTGTATATTGAACCTGCTTGCAAGGCAGGCTTTCTCTCTGCCCCTGGGATAAGGCTGCGCTCCGGTAGGGCCGGAGAGGTTGGGTCTCCCCGCGCTCAGACAACCCGGATTCACTGGGGCTGCCAGCCCACGTGGGAGCGTGGGAAGCGACGCGCAGCAGCAGCAGCACCCCCCCCAACCCCCCACGGGGTGGTGTTGGTGGTGGGGTCCCTGCCTTGCCTGCCTGCCTTTGGGAGCTGCCGGTGGGAAACGCTTCGCGATGCAGGAGAGAAAGAGAGAGGGATGTGGCTGGAGGGAGGGGTTCTCGAGGGCGGGGGCCGGTTAGGGGCTTAATTGAATTGCGGCGACTCGGAGGAGGGAGGGGCGCGGGGGAGGCGCGCTCGCGGGTCTCTAGCGTCTGCCGCCCGCCCGGGGTTATGTTCGGTCATCCACCTGTGCGCTCCGCTTCTGCGGCTGCTCGCCGACACGCACAGGAAGCCGCGGGCTGCTGCTTCCCCCGCCCTCCGCTGGTTCGGAGAAGCCGGGTAGCCGACTCTCCTCGGCCACCCATCGGCCTTGTGGAGCGACGTGGTGCTGCATATTGCAATGAAATGAAGCCCCCCCCCCGCCCGCCCCGTTTGTGGGACGTGGAGAGCCCCAGGGTGGCTGCGCTGGAGAAGTTGTGGGAACTGCAACTGGCAGCCGGAGGGCGCGTTCACACGACCCTTGTGGAGCATTTGAGGGCAACGGGCTGGTGCGCGCGCGCACACACCCCGCATGTGCGTGGGTGTGGGCCCGGCCAGAAGTGGTTGCCTGAGCCCACTGATAGGCAACTGGCAGCCTTGGAGCTAAATGCAGCCCGCAGCTGATTGATTAGTTCTTGGCCCCATTGCTCACCCTTGTGTGTTCCGATAGATAGAGCTATGCACCCTTTTTGGTCCTAGTGGGTGTCTTCACATGATTCACAAGGGAGAAAAAAGACCTGGGAACATGCCACATCATCTTGACCACAGGCAACACCCTGTTTGGGGAACTGTAATGTTTGACAGTTTGACCCACTTACGCTGGTGGCGCTGTGGGTTAAACCACAGAGCCTAGGACTTGCCAATCAGAAGGTCACGGTTTGAATCCCCGCAACGGGGTGAGCTCCTGTCACTCGGTCCCTGCTCCTGCCAGCCTTGTAGTTTGAAAGCACATCAAAGTGCAAGTAGATAAATAGGTACCTCTCCAGCGGGAAAGTAAACGGCGTTTCCGTGCGCTGCTCTGATTCGCCAGAAGTGGCTTAGTCATGCTGTACGCCGGCTCCCTCGGCCAATAAAGCGAGATGAGCGCCGCAACCCCAGAGTCGGTCACGACTGGACCTAATGGTCAGGGGTCCCTTTACCCTTACCTAATGTTTGAAATGGTTTTAGAGTTGTATTTGAAATTGTTGTCACCCACTCTTACAATGAAGGGCAGGTAACAAGTCAAAATCGTTGTCGTCATTGTCAGCTGGGGCCTCTAAAACTAGAAGGATCCTGATTCTTTGGGAACTGGCTCTTGTGCAGCTGGGGAAGTGTTTGGATGTGCAGGGATGCAATGAACATAGACTGAACTATGAAGAAATAAACTCCGACTTCATGCCTTCTTGGAGGCCAGCTTTGCAAACTGAAGCTGGAAGGTTGCATATTTCATGGCTGCCTCGCTCTGAAATGCGAAATGCAAAAGGGGCTGCCAACTTTTTTTCCTGGCAAGGCTCCTGTGTCTTTAAATGCAGTCTTTAAATGCAGTGGAATTCCACTTTCGACAGGAATTCCACTTTCGACAGTGGAATTTGCTGCCAAGGAGTGTGGTGGAGTCTCCTTCTTTGGAGGTCTTTAAGCAGAGGCTTGACAGCCATATGTCAGGAGTGCTCTGATGGTGTTTCCTGCTTGGCAGGGGGTTGGACTCGATGGCCCTTGTGGTCTCTTCCAACTCTATGATTCTATGATTCTATTCTATGCAAATAATAATAATAATAATAATTCTGCAGCATGTGAAGACTTCCCACATCACAAAAGTTTCATATGCCCTATTTCCCCCTGCGCTTCAGCTGTGAAAGGCTCAGGAGCCTTGCCAGACAAAATAGCTGGCAGCCCTAGCTGAGGCTAGCTTTGAAACTTCGCTTGCAGCTGAGCGACAACTAATGGAAGGCTCTTCTGCAAATTCAGCCGCGCACAAGCCCACTTAAATCAATGTGGTTAAGTGCACCTAGCAGTAGCACAGGGTTGGGTTATTCCCGACCTCGCTCGAGGGGGAGGCTTTCGTGAGATAAGTTGAACAAACAACCTAATCGCAGAGGCACTTGAGGTTTCTCATTCTCTTGTGCATCACTAATAGTCATGGCTAATTGTCTGTGGGTAGGTGGGAGCTGGAGGTGACTCACGAAAGGTGTCTATTTCATTCAGATTGAAAGCGCAGAACCTTGAGTGAGGTCACTTGGTTGGGGGGAAACTGAATCACATGTGAGGAAATTCAGCTCAGGCAATAGCGAGTGGAGCATGAAGAGATGGGCAAAGCATTTCTAGTGGGTGTGGAAGGAGAATCATATATAATTTTAGAGTTGGAAGGGACCATGAGGGTCATCTAGTCCAGCCCCCTGCTTTGCAGGAATCTTTTGCCCAGCCTGGGGACGCGGGTGGCGCTGTGGGTTAAACCACAGAGCTTAGGACTTGCCGATCAGAAGGTTGGCGATTCGAATCCCCACAACGGGGTGAGCTCCCGTTGCTCAGTCCCTGCTCCTGCCAACCTAGCAGTTCGAAAGCATGTCAAAGTGCAAGTAGATAAATAGATACCACTCCGGCGGGAAGGTAAACGGCATTTCCGTGCACTGCTCTGGTTCGCCAGAAGCGGCTTAGTCATGCTGGCCACATGACCCAGAAGCTGTACGCCGGCTCCCTTGGCCAATAAAGCGAGATGAGCGCCACAACCCCAGAGTTGGCCACGACTGGACCTAATGGTCAGGGGTCCCCTTTTTGCCCAGCTTGAGGCTAGACCCCTGAGATTAAGAGTCTCATGCTTTAC